TAAGTCGGCTGCCCCAGGGTCTTTGTGAATTTCCAAACTGAAAGGACCCTCAGGCCACAGCCAGTCTCTGCAGGAAGGTGAGGGCACGGGGGCAGCCTGGAGCCAGCCCTAGCTGATTGTCACAGTCACCATCCTCCTTTTTTTTTTTTAATTAAACAAACCACAGAACAACAATTTTATTAAGCTGAACAGTTTCTTTGATACAAAGAGAAATATCAAAAGGAAACCAGGACATGTGCACATGTAATGCCCCACAAAAATATATGCAATAACCCAAGGCAAAAAAGGACAAAGTTCTCTTCAACAGAGAAAATTATTTTCACTTTTGGAAGGTGTTTCCATATGCCATTCTTTTTAAATTACAGATTCCAGGGCTGGGGAGACGGTTCACTGGGCAAGCCATCAATTCCACAAGTGTCAATTCCACAACACATTTAGGCCAGACATGACAGCACAGTCTGTAATCACAACACTAAGGCAAAATGGGGGTGCAGAGCCAGAACCCCCTGAAGCTCACAAGCCACCTAGCCTGGTGCACTGAGGTGAATGGCATTCCACCTCAAACAAGGAAGAAGGTGAAGGCTGATACCTGGGGTTATCCTCAGCTCTCCACACAGTATGAAATATGCACGTCCTCACAGCCATGTGTGAACGCGCACACACACACACGTACACACACACTTACTTTAAAAAAAAATGAAAGTTGGGGCTGGAGAGATGACTCAGTGATTAAGAGCACTGGCTGCTCTTCCAAAGAATCTGAGTTCGAGTCCCGGCACCCACATGGTGGGTCACAACCAGTCGCAGGGGACCTGCCCTCTTCGGCCTTCTTGGGCACTAGGCATGCACAAGGCACGCAGACATACATGCAAGCAAAACATCCATATACATTAAGTAATTTCTTAAAATGCAAATTCCAGCCTCATAACAGATAACCTGAATCAAAATCTCAAGGGAGTTGTTGAGAAATCTACCTGTATCTATACATACAAATTTTGCTTTTTTTTGTTTGTTTATTGAGGGACAGGGGTTCAAGACAGAATTTTCTCTGTGTAACAGTCCTGATTATTCTGGAAATCACTCTGTGGACCAAGCTGGCCTTGAACTCAGAAATCTGCCTGCCTCTGTTTCCCAAGTTCTGGGATTAAAGGTGTGCACCACCACCCCCGGCCTGTCGTGTGTGTGTGTGTGTGTGTGTGTGTGTGTGTGTGTGTGTGTATACACACACATATACATATATATTGTAGAGATGAGGCGAGCAGGCTGCGTCCCACCACCTGGCTAGCTTTACCCCTGAAATAATTACATGGAAACTGTATTCATTTAGATACTGCCTGACCCATTATATCTAGCCGCTTACTGGCTAACTCTCACATCTTGATTAACCCATTTCTATTAATGTGTGTAGCACCTGGAAAGATTCTAGCCTACATCCGTCTTGGGTCGAAGAATCATGGCGTCTGTCTGGAGAGGAGAGCTATGGCTTCTGCCTCATTGCCTTCTTCCCAGCATTCTGTTCTGTCTACTCCACCCACCTATGTTCTGACCTATCAGGCCAAGCAGTTTCTTTATTAACCAATGAAAGCAACACATAGAAAGAAGACCCACCTACATCAATATATAAATCAAGTAGATAATTGCTTTAGATCAGTGGTTCTCAACCTTTCTAATGCTGTGATCCTTTAATATAGTTCCTCATGTTATGGTTATGATTAAAGTAAAATGGCGTGTCCCCAAGAGTGGCCCGCTGGCCCAGCAGGTCCCAGGCAGGGAGCTACACGGGTGAGAGACAGAGACACACCATGCAAAAAAAAGTGAGTATTTATTTAGTGGGTTATGGAAGGGAAAGGAAACGGGGGCAAGAGGAGAAGGGGGAAGAGCAGAGAGAGGCACAGAAAGAGAAACAGAGGGGGAGAAGGGGAGAAGTGGGGAGAAGGGAGAGAGGCAGAAGCTGCCTCTTCGGGAGAGAGCTGGAAAGGAAGCAGAAGGAAGATCTGCTTGCCTCAGTGGGTGGGGGAGGGGGCTTTTCTCTTAAAGGAACAGGACAGACCATTACAATGGTGGCCCCAACCATAAAATTATTTTCATTGCTACTTCATAACTATAGTTTTGCTACAGTTAGCTGGGTGGCAGTGGCGCAAGCCTTTAATCCCAGCACTCGGGTGGCAGAGGTAGGGTCCCTATGAGTTCGAAGTCAGCCTGGTCTACAGCCAACAGCTACAAAGGAACCCTGTTTTGAAGAACAGCAACAAAAAATTGCTACTGTTATAAATTGTAACATAAATATGTTTTCCAAAAGTCTTAGGAGCCCCTTGTGAAAAGGTGGTTTGAGCCCCAAAGGGGTCATGATCCACATATTGAGATTAATTAATCTAGATTAATGAAATACAACAATACGAAACTTCAAATTAAAGCCTATGTGTATAAAAGGTATTTTGGATAACTTGGCAAACTTTAACACGAACTTCTAGATCCTTGATAAACTTTCCTTCTCCCAAACAGGATCTTCTTATGCAGACAGGCTGGCATGACCCTGTGCCCCTGCCTGACTGCTGGAATTACAGACATGCACCAAACCTGGCAGGAATTTTGGTAATGTTCTTAGATTCAAAAACATAGTTCAAAAATATAATAGAATGTCCTTAATCCTAGGCTACATTAAGCTCAAGTATTAAAAAGTGACTTCCCATGCCTCAGCTTACTTTTTGCGGGGACAACAAATCAATTTTCAACGGCTCCAGGCGGAGAGGAGCCGTTGAGACAGAACACTGGGGAAGGGACAGTCACCACGCTTCTCTATATTTCTGCAGGCTGGACGTGTCTGAACACACGGTTGCGGGACAGTTACTAGGTTTCTGTGGAGTAAAGCATGAAGCCTGCTGGATGAGGTAACCTCTGCTCTCCTGACAGGCCTCAGGGCTGCCGCCGGCGTGTCAGACATTCTGTGGGGCTTTGGGTAGCACCACAGCTGCTGTCATGGCCTAGCCCAGATGACCCTTGTGGAGAGCAGGCCATACTGACCCCTAGCGGTACTCTGGACACTTAGGCCAGGGCAACCTAGCCCCACACTGCCTGTGCCCATAACCAAACCCATTACATGGGGTTCAGGTCAAAGAGCAAAGCCCCGTTTGGCCTTTTCTGGTAACTTGACTGAATACAGGAAATCTACCTCTGTGAATCCAGCTCCATCAGCTCCACCAGGACAAACTAGAGTGAGGCTTGGGAGCTTAAAGACAGAGGTGTGTTGTAAAGACTCACAAGACAGAAAGAAAGAGGCCAAGTGCTGAGGGCCAAGCAGGAAGGAGAACCATGGTCGGCAGGGCTCAGGGCTAGGGTGGGCCGTGTCCGGCCTGTCACTGACAAATCCTGACAGAAGGAAGCAACTTCAGGAAGGGCTTCTTTGAGCTTTACGACTGTAGGAATTTCAGTTCACCATGGCCCAGAAGTCACGGCAGCAGGAATGGCTGTCTGTTGAGGCAGGAACGAGAGGTGGAGGGTGTTTACGTGGTGGCAGACAAGGCCAGAACCAAAGGGGGTATAACCTTCAAAGCCTGCCTCTACCGACCTACTTCTAGCCACTAGGCCTCACCTCCTCAGTGCTTGACAGCCTTCAAAACCGCACATGCTGGGGATATGTTGGTAGGATACATGTCAGGTTCCACGCCGTAACAGGCTGTCAACAGGAAGTCTGTGGCAAATGAAGTGAGCTCAGTGATACCCTCTGAGACGAGGCAGGGACACAGGTGACATGGCAACAGAGAGGATCATCCCAGCGTCAGGCTGCAAGCTGAGCACAGCTCCACAGGAAGCCACTCCCTCAGGATCAGGCTGCCTCTCCAGCAGGGCCCTAATCAAAGGTCTGGAAGGAGGACATAGGTTTCGCTGTCTAAGGTGTAGGTGCAGACAGCGTGTAGCTCAGGGTCTGGCTCTCCTCTCCCTAACCTTAGTAACTTAGTAAGGCCTTTGGCCAAGTGGTCTCAATCCGGAGACCAGAGCTTAAAGATGTCACAGGAAACTGAGAAAGACTAAGGATTAATTCCCCTCCCTTAGCAGAGCTCTCCCAATCTGCACATTCCTTCAGACCAGGAGCTGGAAGGGTACACAGGGCAGCAGCCCAGGGAACCCACTAAGGTAACAAATGCTAAACTAACCCGCTCAAGTTTGACCGGTCACAACGTCACGTCTCTGACTCAAGTGAAGCCCAGGAATCTACTGCAATGGAATCCAGAAAAACTGATGGCTACACTGAGGGCCACAATGACCTGATCCAAAGGGGAGTCCTAACCCTTTGTTTTGGGCCCTCTTAATGAAACACAACTCAAGCCCCGCTGTTGTACACACAAAAAGTGAGGTCAGTGCTAAAGAGCACGGGCTGCTCCTGCAGAGGACCCCAGTTCAGTTCCCAGCATTGACACGGTGGCTCTGCAACTCCATTCCAGGGGGTCCAGTGACCTCTTCTGACCACTGTGGGCAACAGGTGCTCACGCTGCGGGCACAGATGCATATGGGAAAACAGTCATAAAAAGGTTCAAAAGGAAAAAGAATGAGACCTGGCACACTGTGATGTTACATTTTTATCTCTATTTTTCATAATAACCAGGAAATACTTCATAGGAAATAAATACTGATATAGACAAGATTCTTCACCATCCAGGAGGAGAGGCAGGAGTGAGGGAAGAGACCCAAGACCACCAGCAAGTCGTGCCAGCAAGCAGAACAGAGAGAGGCTCAGCTGCATGGATTCAAGCAGGCACCCAGCACACAGCCCATTGAGTGCCCGCCCCTGGGGCTCCTGGAGAAACACCCAGGCCCCACCATCACCTCTCTTCTGAGGAGACAGACAAACAGATTTTTTTGGTCACAGTGACATTTTTGCTTTTTATCCTTAGAAGGACTGGCACAAGCTAATGGGGAACAGTAATATAAAACAGAATAGCATTAATCAGCTGAAGTGCCCTACCCAACCTTTTCTTTTTACTCAAATGAAGGAGCAGAGCAGGTCAACCAATGTCTTATCTTTATTGTAAATCCGGAGCATTTCTATCAGAAGCAAACAACACATCAAAGATCTCCCCGGTTCCACTGCTCGGAACACGGCAGCCGAGTGACAGAACCAGACACGTCCTTCCCCTGGAAGCCACTGGACTATCTACACCGAGGACAGCTCAAGACTGTAACCCACGACAGCTGCCCCCTCCCACAGGAGTGGCCCAGGATCTACCTCCTATGGTGTGCTGGCCTGGCAGACAGCAAGACCATAGGCACCTGGTGACTCAGCACACACCTTTCTTGGGCTCCTCTGGAACGCCCCAAGTGAAGGAAGAAACAAGCCTATCTGGCCCCATGGGATCCCTGGAGGAAATCGCAGGCTCTGGTTAAACCCACAAACCATCTCCATCTTTGCTCTCTTCTTCCCAGCTCAGGTATTAAAGTGTCCCTGCCTGAGGAGACAGCAGAGACAGAGCCTTCTCAGCAAGCAGAGCCTCGGCCCAGGAATTTCCCATGGACACAGGTGATGTGGGATTCCCTTCCACATGCTGTGAATACCACTGGTTAATAAAGAAGCTGCTTTGGGCCTATTGCAGTGCTGAATAGGGCAAGGCGGGAATTCCAAGCAGACAGAGGAGGAAAGAAGGCAGGCTCAGAGAGATGCCATGTAGCTACGGGAGGAGAAAGACACCCGCACACCGGTACCGGTAAACCACAGCCTCGTGGTAAAATATAAAATAATAGAAATGGGTTAATTTAAGATGTAAGAGCTAGCTAGAAATACACTTATGCTATTGGCCAAGAAGTATTGCAATTAATACAGTTTCTGCGTGATTTCGGGGCTGGGTGGCTGGGAAACAGACAAGCAGCCTCCACCTACACATAGGTATATACTTGAGTCAAACTCCATCCGACCTTGTCTTAGCTCGGAGAGCACTTCTGTCGAATACCAACAGGGAAGATATAGTTCTCTACACCTCAACATCCCCACATGTAGAATGGGAACAGAGGATTCTGCACAGAGGCTCAGTCAGATAACGCAAGCAAAGCACTGCCTACAGAGCATACTAGGAAAGGTTTCAACAGACAGACAGAAGGACATCAGGATCGTGGGAGGAGAAGCAAAAAGTACATTATCAGTGTATTTGGACAGGATAGGAGAGGAATTCTAAAAGCCACCTCCACCAACTCAGATCCTAGGGAAAGAAAACCCTGAGTTTTGAGCTCGTAAGTCTTTGGAGGGATGTTTAATCAGGATTCCATCATTTCTTTAAAATAAGTCTGCTAAAATATGACTGCCTGGAGAGGGAACGCCTGTTCACTCATTACAGGCGCTCAGCATACACCCGGACACTAAGACAGGTTTTCCCGTTGGGGATCCACCTGTTCCTTAGCCTTCAGTTCCTCTAGCTTCTTCTCATAGCGACTCAAAAAGTAATCGTCAGGCTCGACCCCCGAGTTCTTCAGAGTTTCCAGGACCTTCTCCAGTCTGGCCACAGAACGGGCCCCGTCGATCTTCCTTGTACTTAGGTACAGAGTGAACTCCTGGAAACCCAAGAGCTTACAGGTGTCCACAGAGCAAATGTTCCGGATGTTGGTGGTTCTGTCCAAACGGGGGAAAAACACCAGACCTGACATCTTCTCTAAGTCCTGCAGGCTCACCTGGAACTCAGTTAACTGGGACTGGAACCCAATAGCTGTATTTGGCACCACAAAGGCCCCCAGTGCCAGCGGTTCCGTAGATTCCGGGCTTCTGCGAGCCAGAATCACCTTGTAAAGGTGTGAAGGAACTGCCACGTTGTCCTCACCGATCACCTAAAAACAAAGCAGCCCAATTAGTGGCACTGACCTGTGCCAACAGTTCCCAAGGTTTTGTTCCTACGTCTTAGATGCATTACCATAAAGCCTCTCGTGAGCAGCCTCAGTGTACCCCAATGAAGAGTCCAACTGCTAAGGAAAACGAAGAGATTCAAACAAAGACAGGAACCAAGCAGGCCAGTTCCAACAAGTCTTTAAAGTAATGCTACCCCAAAGATCAGGACAGAGGAGGAAGGGCACTAATCACTAAGTTTTCAGGGGAAAATGCTGTTATTTTCTCTTTATCTCCAAGTCAGAGTTTTTGGTCCTCTACATAGGAGAAGCCAAAGCTGCTGGCTTCAGAGTCTCAGCTCTCATAATAAAAACGGCCCTGGCTTAGCAAACTTACCAGCAGCTGCCATGTCAACAGAACTTTCTAGATCACTTCGATCGCAGCTCACCTTTTCACGGTAAGCATATGCAACTGCTTTTGCTTAGTTTCAAATGTTCCTGGACTACCAGACATTGAACTTCTAAATTGAGCTGTCGTCAAATCAGACACGATGAGAAAGGCCGAGCAAAGAAAACACGTTGGCTGTGTAGGTTGGCCGTACTAAGGAAATAACATTATGAACCTCTTCAAATGTCTTCCCAGTGTGCTTAAAAGCCTCATCTGTTGCCTAAAAAACAAAAGCTGAATGTCCATTTACTTAATGGCCCCCGATAAAATGACACAAGCCAAACGAGCATGCCTGCAGTGTGCCTTCCAGGGCCTGCCTGCAGTGTGTCTTCCAGGGCCTGCCTGCAGTGTGCCTTCCAGGGCCTGCCTGCAGTGTGTCTTCCAGGGCCTGCCTGCAGTGTGCCTTCCAGGGCCTCCTTTGGCCCGTATCTCCCCGTGATCAGGCAGTTCTAGCTGCAGGTTCCCTGTCAGAAGCTCAAATAAGACAGTGAGATCAGAGCCAAAGAAGGGTTCTTCTCTGATTTTTACAAACTCCTATTCACACCGCACACAGCCCACAACTCCACGGCCATCCACTATCTGTCACACACTGAACACACTGAACAACAGCAGGACTTGAGGGAAGACCGAGCCACAGGAATGACGTCCACAACCAACTGTCTGTGAACATTCTCAAAGTGCTGGGGGGCTCAGGAGTGAGGTTTACGAAACCATGTGGTCCATAGGTTCAGATTTCTTATTCCCAAGAGTGATTTGTGCCACTAGACAAACGAGCTCGGAAAGCTACTGCATGTTCACACCAGGCTCACACATCCCCAATAGCATCCCCTAACGATGTTCAGGGGTCCTGAACCTGGCCTTGAGCCTCTAATCCTAGCATTCAGGTGAAAGCAAGAGGATCAGAAGTTCAAGGTCACCCTTGGCTGCTCACTTAGGGAGATCTAGGCCAGCCTGGACTATGTATCTCCTTTTAAAAGGAAAAGGGAGGGGCACCAGCAACTCCTGAAGGGGAGCCAATGCCCACAGATCACCCTACAGGCAGATCATGGCCAGATGCTAAAAGATGACGGATAATGACGATAAGGAGGCTTGGGGGCCAGAACTAAGGGCATAGTGACTATGGAGCCATATTCTCAAAGGGGTATAAATTGAAATGAGCTTCAAACACTATGTATGGTGGCTAGGGACACAGTTGGTAAGCAAATTACTACTGCCACCTGGTGGGCTTTCCATGTCACTGCAACACAGCACAAGAACCTTCAGGTCCTTGGAGAACCTTCTACACATCCACTTCACAATTTCCACCTCAACGGCTCCTGTCCACAGACAAATGGCTACTTTCTAAAATATTTAACTGGCCATGTACATTGGTTGCCAACCAGAACTTTTAACTGAGTTCCTTACATACCAGCAAAAGGCATAAACGTTTGACATTTTACATTTCATGGTCTCACTGCATGGAAATGTGCCATTTCTATAGTTCTAGATCTCTCAAACGCACACAAGCTAAAAAACCTCCGATGCTGCAGTCTTGAGGGCACTCCCAATCACTCAGATCCATCTCAATCCTGACACTGGTCATGGTCAGAGCCATAACATGTGACTCTTCTAGTCATGGCCTTCCCTACCAGCAGACAATGAAATCAGGGCGGCGGTGGCGCACGCCTTTAATCCCAGCACTAAGGGAGGTAGACATAGCTGGATCTCTGTGAGTTTGAGGCCAGCCTGGTCTACAAGAAATAGTTCCAAGACAGCCAGGGCTGTTACACAGAGAAACTCTGTAAAAAAAAAAGAAGGAAAGGAAGGAAGGAGGGAAGGAAGGAAGGAAGGAAGGAAGGAAGGAAGGAAGGAAGGAAGGAAAGAAAGAAAGAAAGAAAGAAAGAAAGAAAGAAAGAAAGAAAGAAAGAAAACAACTACTGCCAGACTCCAAAGCTACAGAGAAACCCTGTCTTGGAAAACCAAAAAGAAAAAGAAAATGAAAGCAACTTGTTATCTTGTCCAAGTCAGTCTACTTTGTTCTCAGCACATCTAAAAGAGGCTGTGCCTGTTTGGAAATTCAAAAACCTACTGTTTCTTCCAAGATTTATAGCCGCGTAGTGGTGTCGCATGTTTTTAAAATCCCAGCACCCAGGGGGCAGAGGTAAGTAGATCTCTGAGTTTGAGGTCAGCCTGGCCTACAGAGTGAATTCCAGGACAGCCAGGACTATACAGAGAAACCCCATCTCTAAATAAATAAGTAGGCAAGTAAGTAAGTAAAGTAAATTAGGGTTTTCTTCCTTATAGGTAACTCAGCAATACACGTATGTTTCTTACTTTGAGAAAATGTTCTAGAATGCACAAGGTTCTGCCAACAAGACAGCTCCTCAAGTTCCACTTTGCCATAACCCGGTTCCTTTTTTCCTGTACAAACAGCACCAACACCCCCAAATGCCCTCGTAGACCAGTATGACAACAGACTGACATGCTAACTTAAAAAGCAAGACCAAAGCACACGCCTTTAATCCCAGCACACGGGAAGCAAAACCAGGGGGTTACCATGAGTGTGAGTTTGGGGCCATCCAGGGCTATACAGTGAGGCCCTGTATCCAAAGACAGAGAAAAGGAGGAAGAGGAAGAGGAGGAGGGTATGATGGTGTAAAATTAAAATCCCAGAACCTAGAGAGGTAGAAGAAGGAGGATCAGGGGTTCAAGGACAGCCTGGGCTACATGGGCTGCTGCTCAAAACAATAACATAAACAATTTCAAAATCCCCAAGATCTATAAAAAGTATTTTTTATAGAGAATGTGATTCAAACAACAGTTTTTGCAGAGGGACAGTGGAAAAACATAGGCTCCAGCAAGATCAGACCGTTAAAGGTCAACAGCAGGTTTCAGAAGGAGAAGTCAAGCTGAACACAAGTGGCTGCGGACAAAGGGTTTCTGTCTGTACGGCTTAACACGAACCAAGTTTCGAATATAATATCGGTACCTCAGCAACAAACCTTTTCACAGAAGATTTGGCATAAAAACGCTTTACAGAAGAGACCGCTGCTGCTATCAGACCGCTCAGGGACCCTGGACTCTTGTCAGGGCCAACAAAAACTGGAAAACAACCAGCTGGAAGCGACCAGAAAATACAACACACAGAACAGCTGTAAGATGGGCTCACATCTAAGTTAGCTATTTCCTATCTACTGCCCAGAGCTTGCTTCCTCCTTCTAAGACAGAAATAACAACCTAACCCTGTCATAACCACAAAGAACACCCCAGTTCCAGAAGAAATTGGCAAGAAACAACACAGGCTCAGCCCGCTCGCTATCTGTACTGTCACAGAGTTGCTGTGTCTTGAGCAAAGTTCTTAAGATAAATGTATTTCCTGACACTATTCCCAAGAAGACAAGAAAGGAAGACGTCAGACCAAAAATAAAACTACCACAACACATCAAGAGACCACGCCCTTAAAATGCCAATCACGTGAAAGGAAGAAACACGGTAGTCTGGAAAACGGACTCAATCCCTACCTAGGACAGGAAGAACATGCGAGGAGACAAGGGAAGTGAAGTCACAGAAATGTTGGTGCCCTGTGTCACGGCAAAGCCAGAAGACACCTGCTGGTAAGGCAGCTCAAACTAAATAGAGCCTCCACGTACGGGACATTGCTCCAGGCAGCGGGCAGATACGTAAATGACCAAACTTTCCCTGGACGTCCAGGTTCCGGGAACAGATTTCTGATTTGCTTCCTCCCTAGGAGGAACTGGCAGAAATCTGGGTTGTGGCTGGCAGGGAAGGGCAGACTGTTAGACACTGCTCACGCTCCACCTCGCATCAGGTCATTTACAACGTTCCTGCCCAAATCCTCAGGTATGATCCACTCATCTGGACTCAGGCTCTCTTGTAACGGACACCTACCTCAGAGAAAGCACATGGCCAGCTCGGCTCTGCTAAGGATGACTCTGATTCGAGCTGTCAGATGGTTCACTTCTGATAACATCACTGCTACCAACCTCCCTGAGGCTCACCCGGACTCAAGGTCCAGGGTGCTGTGATCCATTCCCCCAGATTCTAGTGGACATTTCTGCCTGGCTGTAAGGAACCCTCTTGGCCCATTTTGTTATTTCTGCATGCTAGCAGATACTCCTGGCCTCTGCCCACAGCAGCTTCCACTGCTGATGGACTTAGCTCTGCAGCAGGCGCTCGGCCGCCCCTGTGCCACTGCGAGAGCCTCCAAGGACGCCACTGAGTGAGCATCAAGTGTCAGAGAGATCCAGGTCTGCGTCTCCCCCATCAATCTCAACCGGCGAGGCCTGGGTTTGCCTCCCTAAAATCCTCAGTTCCTTGTGTGGAAAGGAACAAAGCCTCATTTTGGTAAGGGCTGTAGTGAGGACACAAGACAGCAGAGTGAAAGACCTTACACGAGGCCTCGTCTAGGCCCCCAGACGCCAGCTCCTTCGCTACACCTCTCCAAAGTTTAAGCGCACACATGCGCCAGTGCCTGCACTGCAGACCCAGGTACCCCACGTTCCCGAGGCAGAGTGTGTACGACTGAAAACAAGTAGCAAGCCTTACATGTGATCCAGAA